ATCTATATATCTATATCATCTGTATCTCTGTATCTCTCTTTGTATATCTATTTACATCTATATATATCTACGTCTACATCTATGTATGTCTACATCTAGGTAGGTAGGTATAGACCAGAGGTGGGTTCCTACCAGTTCGCACCAGTTCGCACCAGTTCGGTAGAACCAGTTCGTCAAATCTTCTGAACCGGTTAGAAGAGGTTCCACCAGTGGACCCGGAAAGCAGGCCACACCTACAGAAGAGGTTCCAAAAAATTTTGAAACCCACCACTGACACACACACACACACACACACACACACACACACAGACTCACATAGAGAGAGAAAGAGAAAGAGAAAGAAAGGAGGAAGGAAAAAAAACAAAAAAGGAAAGAAAAAGTGAGAGAGAAATGAAAGAAAAAAAGGAAAAAGGGACAGAGAGACAAAAGGAAGGAAAGAGAGAGAGAGAGAGAGAGAGAGAGAGAGAGAGAGAGAGAGAACACGTGGCCGACAAACCACTCCCCCCAGGTCACATGGCTGGCAAGCCACTCCCACAAAGGAGGCCACACCCACAGAGTAGGTTCTAAAAACTTTTGAAACCCACCACTGGTAGGTAGGTAGGTAGGTAGGAAGGTACCTAGATAGATAGATAGATAGATAGATAGATAGATAGAGAGAGAGAGAGAGAGAGAGAGAGAGAAGAGTAGAAGATTCAAGCCCATTGGTTTTATGAAACTGAGAGATGGAATTCTCATACTGATGGTTGGGGGAGTTAAACATCTACCTCCATTAAATGCTTCCTATGTTGGTCTCCTTGCACCTCTGCACAGCATCTCACCCTTAACGGCTCCTAACTATTCATTCCCTTCACTTACAAATGCAGAGGATACATAACTTAAAGTTTCTTCTCATAGGAAGTGCCTCCCACCCAGCTCCCATGTTTGTTGAAAGCAATGTTCAACTGCTTGAAATGGCCTGATGAGTAACATCACCTTATATTCTTATTACTGCTACCACTTGTATTGCTATGGTTGCTACCACCGTGATTATTCCTTGAAGCTAACAATACCACTTTTTTGTATGCGGGGGAAACCTTTAAGGAATGCTGCTGCTCCTGCATTGTGTCAGGAATGTATTGTTGGTCTTCAAGCACATGAGGCAGCCCTTATTATGGATTCATTAGGAACTACTGGTAGTCCTCAACTTAGGGCCACAACTGAGCCCAAAAGTTCTGTTGCCAAGTGAGACGTTTGTTTGTTTGTTAAGTGAGTTTTACAACCTTTCTTGCTACCGTTTGTTAAGTGAATCACTGCAGTTGTTAAGTTATTAACATGAGTGTTGTGTGAATCTGGTTTCCCCATTGACTTTGCTTGTCAGAAGGTCACAAAATGACCCTGGGACACTGCAACCGTCATTAAATATGGGTCAGTTGCCAAAGGTCTAAGTTTTGATCACATGACCCGGGGGAGGCCGCAAAAATCGTAAGTGTGAAAAACGGTCATTAGTCACTTTTTTCATTGTAACTTCAAAAGGTCCTTAAATGAGCTGTTGTAAGTCAAGGACTACCTGTACTAAGCCGTGTTCGGGGCTGTTCACTGATACGTTGTATGGTCTCTCTCTTCTGCCTCCAGGTTGCCGAGAGACTGCCTTCATTTTTGCTATTACTAGTGCCGGGGTCACCCACTCGGTGGCCCGTTCTTGCTCGGAAGGCTCCATCGAATCTTGCACTTGTGACTACCGACGGAGGGGTCCAGGAGGTCCCGACTGGCATTGGGGTGGCTGCAGTGACAATGTGGACTTTGGACGGGTCTTTGGGCGAGAGTTCGTGGACTCCAATGAGAAGGGGAGAGACCTGCGCTTCTTGATGAATTTACACAACAACGAGGCAGGACGTCTGGTAGGAAGAACAGTGACCGCCATGGGGTATATGGGGCTTTGCGTAGAACTGCATGCATTGAGAATGCCTTTCATATCAATATGGTGTCGGGCATAGTGATATCAGCAGACACTAATTAACACCACATTTGACTTCTCCAATAAGCATCATGAATATTTTCAACATATGTTCAGACTGTGTTTGTACCAGCTCATTGTTTTCTGAAAATCAGCTATGATTTCAGTTATGTTGATCTATTCCTAGGAAAACTAGCCATCAAATTCCTCCAAAGTAATTAATGTTTGGTTAAGGTTAGCATGCAAAAAAGGCCCCGCTCAGATCATTATGCAGTTATGCAGATGTGTGGTTGAGTTAATGCGATTATAGCTCTCTATATTGTTCACCTGGATGAAATTGGATTTGGAATCCGAGATGTTATCGTACGGCATAGAGAATCTAAACAACGTGTTCCAGGAGCTTCTTATTTTAAGAGAATCCTGGGAATACTGTGTTTCCCCGAAAATACGATCTTCCCCCGAAAGTATGTCCTAGCTTGATTTTTACACATGCGCCCAATACAACCCCTATCCCAAAATAAGGCCCAATTAAGACCCCACCCACTCCAGAGTGCACGGGTAAAAATTAAGCTAGGGTAGGGATTGGGGGGTGGAACTGCCCTACTACTTACCTTTGGACAGTTTCAGCCAGGCCTCACATGTCCCGACATCTGCCTTACTGGCCCATTTCTTCTGCCGACAAGGCTTTCCTGAAGGCTTCTGCAGCCAATAACAGAGCTCCGGAGCCTTTTTGGGTGACCTGGTCTCTTTTTTAGTGGCAATCTATACTGTCAGACCCAGTCTTATTTTCAGGGAAACATGGGTATGTGCACATTACCACAAGCTCTTAGTTGCTTTACTGTTGCCCTACAAATAGGGCAAAAGGAAGCAACAGACTGCCAGTTCTGGTTTACCTTCCAATCCTTGCAATGATTTGCGCACTTTATTAAACAAGTATGAGCTAGTCCAAAAATCCATCACTCCATCCGGGGAAGAATTCATTTCAGGAAAACTCAGCTCAAGCTGTTGTCATACCTTAATATTTCTTACAGCGACTTTCCAGATGAAAGGCGCATTCATGCTTTTCATGAACATAAAGACACATTATCCTTCGTAATATCCTTAGTTCCCTTTCACTGAAATTGATTGACATATCCCCTTCTATGATTTTTATCCTGGTCCACTTTAAAGGCTTCCTTTCCAGAGTCATTGGCCAAATCCGATGATAGTAAATTCCATCATTTAATCATGCTCCACATGAAGTGACTTTGTCTGTCTTGAACATACTGCCACTCTATTTCACCATTCTTCTGCTACAACAGAAACAGAGAAAAAATAGGTCGATATATCATTTTATATATTTCCATCATATGCTTTCCTACCTGATCTTCCTGCAGTTGCTTTTTCCTAAATAAAAAGCCTCAAATGTTTTAGATGTTCCGCATAAAATAATTGATAATTTTGATAGTCAGATAACACACATTTTATAATTCTTCGGTGTCTGTGGTAGCATTCTCTTGGTCACATAATCAAAATTCGGATGCTTGGTAACTGATTCATATTTATGACGGTTGCAGTGTCCTGGGGTCATGTTTGCAATCTTTTGACAAGCAAAGTCAATGGGGATTCACTTAAACAACCATATTACTAACTTAAACAGCTGCAGTGATTCACTTAACAACTATGGTAAGAAAGTCATAAAATAAAACTCACTTAACAAAAACTTAGCAACANTAGATAGATAGATAGATAGATAGATAGATAGATAGATAGATAGATAGATAGATAGATAGATAGATAGATAGATAACGTGCATTGGCATGTTAGCAGCATTGAATGCAATGATATTTAGGCCAAAGCAAGGGTTAAAAAGAAAAGCCCATGATAGAGGCTGTTCAGAATCATCAAAGAATGCCAGCAAGTCTTAACTCCTCATGTTCCAAATGCCCTTGGAGTACTTGATATTCAACACTGCAAGATTTTGAGTGAAACGTTTGTATCCTGGCATTTTCCGGGTGCAGCTGGAAGTTTTCAGTCCATTCTGGAGACCTGAATCCTTAAGGAGCCCCAAAACCACCCTGTCCTGATCACCATTGTAATCTTCTTGAAACCTCTGCTTTCAGGGGAATCATCAACGTGGCCTCGTCTACCAACCTACTGACCGACTCCAAGAATGTGCAGCTGGTGCTAGACCCTTCCTTGCAGCTCCTGAGCCGCAAGCAGCGCAAGCTTATCCGCCAAAACCCAGGCATCCTGCATAGCATCAGCAGCGGCCTGCAGAGCGCCATCAAGGAGTGTAAGTGGCAATTCCGTAACCGCCGCTGGAACTGTCCTACTACCCCAGGCCCCAATGTGTTCGGCAAGATTGTCAACAGAGGTAAGAGGATGATACGGGGGTGGGGGGAAGGGGTTTGAACGGTGGTGGTGAAGAGGAGGAGGATGGAAGTCTGTTCAGTTCTCTAGGTGAACTTCATGGATCTGAGACGTTTCTTCCTGCTCCTATAATCTGGCTGACTTAGCAAGGGGAGGCAAGAAACTAATTGTGTTGCTTTGTGATGGGTAGTTGGCTCTCCATTTTTAATGTGGAGCGCTGTAAACACGAGTGTGTCAGTCAAGAAGAGCAGTCTTTTGCACAGAGCACGCAGATTTCTCGTCCCCGTATTCTGTTTTTCCTTCCTCATGGGAACAAGCTCTCCTGTTTAGTTAAGTCACGTGTCAAACTTGTGGCCCGCAGGATGAATGCGTCACATAGCCACCCCTACCCTCAGTTTAGTGAAGGGGGGAAAAAAAGTCACGATACGTCACATGATAACTATGTGACACCGTGATTTTGACACCCCTGAGCTAAGCGAAGTAAAGGCTTCAAAGGGCAGAGCTGGACAAAGAAAACCCACTCGCCCACCTTCCGGCCCTAACATGCCCTGCCATTTGGATCATCCATTCCACTGGGTCTAAATCTGGATGGATGGCCCCATTGCCACTCCCATCCCTTGTAAGAGCTGCTCAGTGCATTATCTGGTGCCTGTTGCTGCCACATCTGAGAAGCACTATGTGTATCTCACGGCGCTTCACTGCTGCTGCTGCTGAAAACGGAGCATGGAAAGAAGGAGCAAAGTCTCTTCCCTCCCCAAGGTTTAGGTCTTTGAGGGCCTTTTTCCCTCCAACTAGAACCTTCTACAGGTAGTCCTCGACTTACGTCTACAATTGAGCCCAAAATTTCTGCTGTTAAGTGAGACATTTGTTAAATGAATTTTGTCCCCTTTTACGTCCTGTCTTGCTGCCCTTGTTCAGTCAAACGTTGCAGTTGATAAGTTAGTAACCCAGTTGTTAAGTCAATCTGGCTTCCCCATTGACTTTGCTTGCTAGAAGGTCGCAAAAGGGAATCCTATGACCTTGGGACACAGCAACATGAACCAGTTGCCAAGCCTCTGAATTTTGATCACATGATCAAAGGTCATTACTGTGAAGAACGGTCATAAGTCACACTTTTTAGTGCTGTTGTGATTATGAACGGTCACTAAATGAACTGTTGTAAGTCAAGGACTACCTGTACTTATTTTTTCCTCTCTTTAATTTTGCTCCTCTGGAAGATTTTAACAGGTGATGTCCACAATAGCAGATGTACCCATCCTCTATATAGCCTTATATTTCAGAATATAAGCCCTATAGAATGATCAAAGGACCCATGACTTATGAGGTCAATTTGGGGAATAACCATGAGCCCTGGAGAAACTGAGCAAAGGAACACAGTCAGGTAGTAAAAGATCATCTGACTGTTCTTTATTCTGCTTTATTTTTTTCAAAAGCAAAATATCTCAGAATTTTTCACGGTGCCCATGCTGACCTCTTCTTTTGAAGCAAACTGCGTGGCAATTACTGGGATGTGGCTGAAGTACTTTGTATAACTTCAGCATTATTAAGAACAATATCAGACTTGCTGTTCTGGGTTAGAAGCATCACATCAATGCAGTGATAGCACACCTGGCCTGGTTAAATCTGATGGATTTCAGTGGGATTTCAACAGCTTAAGCGGACATTAAGCTGGTTGAAAATTAAAAGGTGACTTGTCTTGGGGCATGCGTGGATATACACTCCACAGCACATTAAGCCAAGTACATATTTTCTGGGAATGTATACAGTAGCTACCACAAGAAGACACAACTTCTTTAAGGAGTTGCCAACAGATGCAACAAGAGCATCCATGCACACTCTGATTCACCTTTCTTTCGAATTTGGATCATTTCACAGCTGTGACGATGCTATTAATGATGACATCCCACTCGGGTTAGCAACTGAGCTCTGCTAACAGCATAGTTCAGCAGACTAACAGAATAATGGAACAATAGCAGAAAAAAGGAGGAAGAACTGGAGAAAATCAGACAATATAAAGTCATACTCTCCCTCCCCACCTGAAAAGAACTCTGTTCCAAATGCCACTTGGGCATGGGCATGGGCAGCGCATGACTCATCTGGCCTGCGGTCTAGGAGTTTAGACATTCTACTCCTCTGTGGGGCAAGACTGAGGGAGAGAAGGGATAGGAGAAGATCAATGGGGCAAGCCTGAGGGAGAGAAGGGGAGAAGAAAGGCCGATCATAACTACTCATTAATTTTCAAGCTTTAAGTGTCGATTTATCAAGCCCGATCACATAGTTTCATAGCGGAGCATGGGTTTCCAGCTAGTATATTCCATAAGTTGAGTTGAGTTGAGTTTATTATATTTCTATGCCGCCCTATTCCCCTGAGGGGACTCAGGGCGGCTCACAACCAAGTCAGGGGGGCGGGGAGTACAATAAGAAAAAAGAACACGAACAAAACAATACCACAATTTAGAACACTCAACAACCATACCATTCGAGAGGGGATAAAAGACTCGTTAGCCCCAGGCTTGCCGGAACAGCCAGGTTTTAAGGGCTTTACGGAAGGCCTGGAGGGTGGTGAGGGTCTGGATCTCCACGGGGAGTTCG